TATCTTTAGAAAGACCATTTAATGGTGAGAAAACCCATATATAATATGTATGGGTACAGTAAATAAGTAAGAGGAAAATTACAGCTAAACACAAACACTGCAGAAATGTAAAAACAGCCCTGGTCCTTAACGGTAAGAAAATTTTAAAAACGACCTGGTCATTAAGGGGTTAATGAAATATGTATAGGGGCTAGAGCCTGTCTAAAAAAAGAAAAAGAAAAAAAAATTGTGTTAGTTTCGGAACTGTGTGTTTTGTTTAGTTAGTCGGCTATCCTACTTACAGATTCTTCGGATCTGTTGCCTAGCTGCTTGGTCCCTGTATTCTGAGACAAGTTTAAAAAGAGCTAGGTCTGAGTGTGACCAGTACCTTTTGTGACAGACCACCCAGTCACTTAGTACTTGTACAGGGCTCCCATCCACCCCTTCACTGTAAAAGATCTATGTACACTCACATATTTCCCCTTCTAGACCATGCCTCCCAGCTCAGCATCTTATTCAGCGGTCTCAGAGATCCAGATCTTACAGACCAGAAAAGGCATTTACCAGATTATCTACATGGAATAGAGGACAATCCTTCAGAACTTACAAAACCCAGATGTCTTCATCCTCCATGGCATCTAGCAGACATTTCTAAAGGTTTTGTTCCCCAGATTCCATAAGCTGGAGCCTGTCTGCAGCAATGTTTGGATACTTGGGCAATGTCAGATCTTGAGCCTTTGGTAGTCTCTAGTCTAAGACAATGGTAGCATTGAGAATTCCAGGAGTTTCCTCATCACAATTACTTCACCAGGTCAAAAACTCCCAAGGATGTTATCAAACAAAGGCCCTTGGTAAGGGTCACAACAAAGCTTTTAAGAGACAAGGTTATCTGAAGAGTCCCTATTATACAGAGATTACAAGGAATTTATTCACCCTTTTATTGGTTTCAAAGCCTGCAGGCGATTGACATCCAATTTTAGACCCACACAACGTAAATCTGTCTTTGGACATTGGCTTATCTCCAAAGAACTCAAGGATGCTTATTTGCATATTCCTATTTGTAAACGTCATCAAAGGTTTTTGAGATTCTCAATTTTGGTAAATCACTTTCAGTTCAGAACTATGTCTTTCCGTTTAAGCACCACTCCATTGACCTTTTTCAAAGGTCGTTTTTTTCCCCTTTATTGCAAATGTGAGACAACAAGGTCTCAATATTTTTTATTGTTTGGTTGACATTCTTCTGGTGGATGATACAAGCTGCTGATCTAAAGAGACAAGACTCTCCAGAACTTAGGCTGTATTATCAGTTTCCAAAAAGCTCAATCTATTCCAGAAAATGTGCTTTCTAGAGCTTAGTTTGATACCATTCTGGGGAAGGGCATAAATGAATGTTATGAGGTAAAGGTTACTGCAGCACCCAAAAAGGGAAATAAAGAGAATATACACTGTGATGCAAACACCTCTCACTGTTGCTCAAGCAGTATAGAAAATACCAATAATAAAGAAAACATTTAAGGCTGTGCAACAAGTGGCTGGGTGCAACCCAAGTTCTACATAGATTTATTGAAAGACAGTGTGACAGAATACACCGTCACTTGTGCCCATACCAGAAAAAACACCTTAATGCTTGTCATTTTATTCCCCACATTGTCGTCAAAAGTCTATTGTCACTACCCCTTGCTCATAGGACCTTCCCCCCTCCATGCCAATGGACTAAAAGTACTCTTTCCTCAAACTATAACCGGAGTCCAGAAGCCGCAAAGACTTCTGGTCTTGTATGTACAACTCTTCTGGAACTCTGGTCTGGCCACGGTTAGCCTCAGTTCCCAGCTAACTTACATCCCAGTTTGTCCCCACTTTCCTTGCACCGACTAGAGCACTGTTTGGAGACTCAGACTATGGGCTACAATCGCTCCCTGGGAGCCAAGCAAGCAACCCTTACTGTGTCTGCAGGAGCTCCATTTGACCGGCCGCAGCCTTACTTGTTATGAAACTCTTTTGGGCATGGACCATGCGTGCAGTCGGTCAAAATGTAACCCTGGTGGCAGAGTAATTTTTCTGTAAATAGGGATCCCATGCTTTGGGTCTGTGTATAAATGACCATGCAGAGCTTAATAAAACCAGTTTTTCTCCCCGCATTAAATCTCAACTAATTGGGGGGGGGGGGGAAATGCTATAACACTGCTTTACTCTACTGCTATCCTGCGAGCTATGACCACTGACTACTGTGCTGAATGGGATCATTTGAAGGGCAAAGGACAGCCTTGGTGGTGACACTCCAGTCCCTTACCAAGTGGACCGCCACAGACATATACAAAAAAAAAAAGATTTTTCGGGGTAATCCACATATACAGTGCAACAAAGAAAAGTATGAAGTACCACCTTCAGATAATATGAAACAGGTGTGTGACCTTCAATGTCTTTCCACCATTCTGCAGCTCCTCCTGACAGCTGGAGCCATCACGTCAGTTGTGAGGATATCATACATGATGTACGTGACGTACGTCATCATGTTCCATTGCTATGAGACGATAAACAAAGCTTGTTTTAATGCACGGTTGTAAGCAAAGGCTAATGCTAGTAAAGAGGAAGCATGGAGGAAATTAAAATGGATTTTAAATCAATCAATCAATGCACAGGCCCAGGAAGAATGAAATAGAGTCCACAAACTCATAATCAAAGAATAGTTAACAACATAGGAGCACACACTCTGACAAGCTACAATAAAAGGAATAACATAAACAGTTCTGTTCTATATATACAAATGTAACACTTCCATCTGATAAAGTGAAGATAACAATGCTATATACTAGCTGGTACAACTTGTCCTACCGCCAATTCCCCAAAAAACACCCATGGAAGGAAATTGTTCCACAGAAAATCATGGAGGCATTTGCCGAGTGGTGGTGTGGCTTCACATTTGGAAAGCATGTTTTTCACACTTATACAAATGTAAGATCTCATTAGATGAGTGATGACAGTACAATGGGGGGTAGTGGAAATGGGAAGCCATGGTGATACATTGATATTTACATTGATTGGGGGGAAAAGATCATTAAGCCTGTCCCACCTAGGCATAAGGAATCCTATGGACCTTCTGTTTTGTTTTTACTCATCCTTCAACCCAGGGGCCAAGGAAACATGGAGTCACTCACCATTTTATTAACGCTCACAACTACACACATGGAGTAACGTAAAATTAATGACAATATCACATGGGTCTCATTGTTAATAGGAGCTCCAAGGAACCCCTATGCGATGGATCCTGTCATTGGCCCAGGGTTTCAGGGTAGGGCTTCTTCTTGCTTGGGGAGGAATTTTACAAAGAGCCTTCATTGTTTCAGGTTGTAATATTTATATCTATCGCATAAACTGAGCAAGTTGTTTTTACATACAATAGGAATGTGTGAGGAGGAGGATGGATTAAATTTTCCATTGTATTCTCATTTTTATAATGTCTGGCTCAAGGCCACTCTAAATTATCCTTCTAAGGTATAGTCTGTGGTGATAAATTACTTCTGCATGGGCAGCCAGCAGAAAATATGGTTTACATGTCTGCTGAAAACACAGGGATTAACTTGCAAAAATAAGGTAGTTTTACAGAAGATATGGTGGAATATAGTATTGTAGTCTAGAATTGTTGTTATGCTTGGCATTAAGCATAGGAAGACCTGCAGTGAGTGCTTGTTCTGAGCATAATTTTCATTGTACACTTTAAGCGTTGCATCATATGCTAGTAATTAGCAAAACATAGCAGACGTGTGCATTCGGTTTCAAATAAAATGCAAATCATCAGAATTTTGGGCTATTAGTGGGTTGCCGAATTCCGTATCTCCGAATTGCCATATGAACATATCATAAAACACCTAAAGCAAACAATGAACTGTTTTGTTTGTTTTGTGATTTGGTGATCTGTCCATGGCACCAAAAAAGAGAGAGAATTTATGGGGAAAACCGATAATTGATGGTTAGAGGATGGCCACTAAATGTTAATTTTATTCATAGATCACATGAGAAGTGACCAATAAGAGAGGAAAACTGAACAGTAAAAAATCTATTCGGATAGTTTCTATATTTAACAAATATGAATAATATATATAGATTTTTTTTTTTAATTCCTCCTCTTTCCCCTCTATTGGTTACTTCTCATTTGATCTGTCAACCAAATGGTGGGAAAATGAAACTATCATTATACTGCAACATCTGTTTATACTTTCTGTGCAATTTTGGTTTGTCTGAATCGTTCTTTCTAAAACAAACCCATGGACAAATGTTGTTGAGCCGAAACTCCACATGGATGAATTCCAGTAAAATGTTTTTGTCCAGATTGATTTCGCTGAGCTAAAGTCTAAAACATAATCTTAATGTGGTTCAAAAACATTTTGGGTACTGTATATGTTGATAGATATGTCACTGATATTCCCTGCATGCAACTATTGCTTAGGTATAATCTTTCTAATTTACCCAACATACCCTTACTTTGGACTGATATCCACAATTAATTGTGATGATTTTTTTACTTGTTAAATGATCACTGTTATACCAAAAGTGCTGATCAGGGCTATTCACCGTATTTCAGAAATTATGTGAATTTTACATTTTAGTACAAAACAGCCAGTCTCCAGACAACCGTGAAGCCTGGAAGGGAAGGACACAGTAATTAAAACCCTTTGATAAACAAAGACACTGTGCATTCTATGCATTGGTTGATTTAATCTGTGTCCACAAAAGTGTCTACCAGTACGACTGCTAATAAGAAAAATAGTATTAATAAAACTGTGAATTCTATTTTTTGTATTCTATTTTATATTAAACCAGTGGATCTTCAATTTAGATGCATTTTGTTACCCAAAATTCTTGTTGATTTAAAAAAACAAAAAAAAAAACACATTTATGACAAAATGTCAGTAAGGCTGAGCTGGTTCTGTGATAAAATGCAGTGTTTTGCTAATCCCTTTGCAGTGGAGCTGAGCTGCCATTGTACAAATAGGAGCATTAGCGGAAAGAGATGCACAGTCTCCAGTTTCAGCACCACTCACAAGGACAGCTCATGCTATCTGTATCTCCATCCTCTCCCAATACCCATCCAGCTCTTCTCCTATTTAACATCATCTTCCTCATATTCACTGTCTGTCCTCTACCCATCCCTCTACCTCTTCTCTCTATAACAACAACCCTCCTACTCCCTCCTCACCCTCCCCACCTATGTGCTCCCATCCTCCCTCCCCCAGTCTGTGCATTGGTTGCTGGCTTGTGCAGTCTCTCCTGGATGTGACTGCATCAAACCGCAGGTACCCATCGCTATCTGGAGGTAAAGAGAGAGCCAAGACCTGACATAGACTGCCGAGAGACTGCACCTGAAGGACAGGATTAGAGAGAGGGCTGGAAGGAGGGGAGGGATGCCCATGTCTGAGTGACTGTGTCTGCAGAGTTGAGGGCTGGGCGCTGTCCCCAGCACCCACCACCTAAATCCTGAGGACCTCTGCTGCATCTTCCTCAGCAACCGGAGACTGTCCAGCGCTGATCCCTGGAGCTACCCCTGGACCGCTCTCCCCTCCCTGTCCCCAGGGTGTGTCTGTGTATGATCCGCTCCCTGGCCAGCTCATCTCTGCTTGAAGATGGCGGATCGAGCTGAGATGTTTTCTCTCTCAACCTTCCACTCCCTCTCCCCCCCCGGCTGCAGGTGAGAACCCGGTACAGAGATACAATGTAGCAATGTTATCCAGGATTCCAAAAGATGGGGCTGCATGGCGTGTGTCACAGGGCTCTGGATGGGGTTGGGGGGAGGGGATATATGTGTCTAGAGCTGGTATACTGGGCAGTGCTGGTGGTCTGATCATGGTCATACAACACGTGCTATCACCATGACATACTCTGTATTGTTTTGGGGGTGCTTTGTATGACATCACTGGCAGAGAGTCTATATTACAGTCCCGTGTCACAGCTCATTACATCATGAGGCACACACAGTCATTGGCATTAAAGCAATATTGTATTGTAGTCATATGATGCAACCCATTATAGATGTATATGATGTGTTTAGAATGGCTAGTGTACAGTATGCACCAGACCCCAAAAAGAACAGTAATCCGACTGTAAACAACATTAACCCTTATTAACACAGCAAAAGTTATAATCAAATAATAGTATAATTACTATAATAATTATAGTGTTAATAAATTGTGCCAGGAATATAAATGTATGTTACCAGCAGCCTACTGATCTCTTGGTCCTGTTTGTGTGAAGTCTAAGGTATATCTGCAGTGATATAGCTGTGAATATTTTTCCCAGATTGAGCAATTTCCTTACATTATATATATATATATATATATATATATATAGTGTGAGTCACTGGGCTCTGTGAGTGACAATTTGCCTAAACAATCGTCATCGTAGAAGACAAACATCATTAAAAGAGTCATGCACAATATATATAAAGGGGACACTGCATCATTTCTCTTAATGCAGTGATACAGTTCTTTACATTTTTCTGTCTATGTTGTGTAAGGTGCATGCATGCATGTCAGTAATATGCATAACAAAATCTTTTATGCTTTTATAGTCCTTTATTTTTAAGATAAATGCAGTCATAGCTGTCGGTTTAGATACATGAAGTGGTGACACTTCTATTGATGCTGCAGGGAGATTGCACCAGGCCAAATGACCTTATGAGGCCTGCTTCTTCCTTCAAAAGATAAAAATTGCAGCATATTTAAATTCTGACTACCTTTGGATCTGAGTTCCCTTTTATCCCATCCATCTTTGGTTTACATGGAATCAGATCACTAAATGATGTTATTTATGCATGTAATAATGAATCTGTGCCTCTCAGTCCAGTCTATAGATACAATTTAGGGACTAACCAATGCAGATAAAATGCACCCCATTGGATTTCCCAGATGACTGGCTTGAAGAGCACTAATATACAATGTATTCTCTTATTTTTCCATTAGTAGCATCAAATATTTATATATAGCTATGACATGTAGTATATTAGGTATCTTGATCTGTTTATTGCATATTAAATGGTAGAATCCTATTTATATACAGTATTAAAATATAATCTAGAATTGTACCTGCACTATTCTCCTTTATGGAGCTACACTGACTGACTCACCTGTGTCGTTTTGACCTGTGTCTGGTCCACATCCCAATCCATGTATTATATAACCAATCATATGCATCATTATACCCATAGTCTTTGTCCTTCATCTGGAGAGGGTGATTAACTGATCTAGCAAGGGTTTCCTCTGATGTGTTCCCTACTCCACACAAGTCGTGCCCGGTGTGCACCTTGATAACATTATAATTATACATTATAGAGGTTTTCTGTGATTTTATTAATTCCTTGGTGTCAGTTCACTTCTAATGTCACTCACTGCCCTAAATAAATACAGAAAATGTGTGTAGAGTGTTACTAACTTGTTGCTTCATTTAGTCTCTATATTAATCTCTAGACAACCAGTGCCAACAAATCAGTGACCGTTTAAGTCAGTCCCTCCCTGATCCAGCCCAGTCCCTGGTAAGATCTGGGGTGCAGCCTGCCTTGTGGCCAGATTGAATGCCATGCTCCATGTTCCTTTGTCCAGTGTTGCCAAGTCTAGCTGTATTCACTGGTCCCTTGCTTTCAAGTCTTGTCCACCATGTACAGTGCTGGTGTGTCCATTGTTTAGAATTATGTTCCTGTCAATTCATAATCTATACATTTCTGTTATGCTGTCTCAATGAGTCATGTCACTGACTGTTTTACTACATTTTGCCTCATTCTTGTCTGTCCCTGATGTCCTATCTACACCCTACATCCCGTCCTTCTCCTTCTTTTCCAGTTTTGCTAAGTATTGTTCCAGTTTCCAAATCTTGTCTTGATTTCTTATTCTAAAAATCCAAATATAATTCTAGATCTGCTGTTTTGGCTTTATAGTCACATGTGCCTTTTCAGTACTTCACAATTTCTGGCACATTGAATGAACATTTGTATGATTCACTGCTTCCACTTAGGCAATGCCCTTCCTTTATATTGAGGGATATCCAATTGCATTTTGTGCTAGAATAGGCCATGTAGTGTATTGTACTGTATTTTCAGTAACATTGTCTGTTTCTATGAATAGATGAATCTCACCATACAACTTTTATGCATTTTGTACTTTAAAATACATATTAAAATACGTGTTCATTCCAAATATTAAACCATGTTTAGAAAGATACGTATACAGTTACTTTAAAAGAACACTCGATGCACCATAACCACTACAGCTTGCTGTCTTGGCAACCCCCTTTTCACCATCCACTACTAACACTCAAGGTCTATTTAGCCCTACTGATGTTATTGGCTGAAAGTCAGACTGTTTAGAAATTATTGGAATTCTTACAGTGGGGGGCACTAGGGCACTCCTGGCACCATAACCACTACTGTAAGCTGTAGTGGTTACAGTATTAATTCTTGCAGGTTTTCCCAGGGATCTGCATTGTTTTGCTGGGTATTATACATGAAATAGCCAGGGTTATGCCAGCTAATCCCTGACTTCCCTTTAGCCTCCATTTTACTTCCGTTTTTCTGTTTGTGAAAATGTCATACAGCAGGCCAGTATACACGCTATCATATTGATACATATTTATTTATATCTACTGGAGAACATTGCTTGTGTATATTAGAAATAACAAATGATTCACCACTATTTCATGTAAATGGAAAATACACTGAAGAAGCAGCATCAGCTCTGCTGTGTTGCAATATTCCATAGAATTTCATTTTGCAGGTCTTTCTGCAAAACAGTTCACTACTTGTGATCAGTAGTGTATTTTCAAATGGTGCTGCCCTAGGCATGACAGATCTCGGGCACCCCCTAAATTAAATTTACCCGCCCCTTCCTGCCAAGGCCACACCTCTTCATGTTAACTAACACACATTTTGACTGACAGACACACACTCACGGACCAGCACACACTCTCAGATACACTGACATACACACACAAAACTGATTTGACACAATCTGATAGACACATACAATCATTCAGACACACACTGACAGATGCATACACTCACTGACAGACGTGCCCACTTACTGATAGACATGAACAATCACTCAGACGCACACACTCACAGACACTCAATGACAGACAAACACACACATCCACTGATAGACACTCACACAATGACACACACACACATTCACTGACACACACACTCACTGACTGACACACACGCTCACCTACACACACACATTCACTGACACACACTCACTCACATTCATTGACAAACACACACACATCCACATTTTTCCCCAACACTCACAATTATTATTTAAAAAAAAAATTGAATCCACCCAGCCTCCCTACTTTTGGGAGAGCTGGGTGGACTTTTCACCTGGGGTACAGTGGGCCTGCTGCGCAGGAAGGTGGGCAGCCGCGCTTAGCTGTCAGTGAGGGAGCTGTAATCTTCCTGTTTAGCTCCCTCGCACTCTGCGCTTTACTGCGGGTCGTGCGAGGGAGCTGAGCAGGAGAGCTCAGGGGAAAGTGCTTCCTTGCTGCCCGCCCAGCGCCCAAAGGTGGCCAGCTGGCCAGCTCTTGGGCCCCCATAAAATGAGGCAAACAAGACATTAGCCTGGGCATTTGGGGGCGGTGTTTTTTTGCCGCCCCCTAGAGAGTGCCGCCCAAGGCAAATGCCTTGTTTGCCTCGCAGTAGATACAGCACCTGCTTATGATCATGTAGGTAATTTTTGCAAAAATTCATGAGGGCCATTCATTAGGGTTGATTTTTTTTTTTTTGTATGATGCCACGCCACATCAAATGCATTCTGCACATTATATGTCAGGAGTGTCCCTTATATACATCAAAACATTACACACATAGATGTCTGTCCACAAAACAATAGGTTATGGTCTGTTTACAAATAATATGAATAATACAAAGTAGCTGATTTTAACCCCTTAAGGACCAGATTGTTTTTGCGTTGTTGTACATTTACGACCAGTCCTCTTTTTACACTTTTGTGGTGTTTGTGTTTAGCTGTAATTTTCCGCTCTCTCATTTACTGTTCCCATACAAATCATATATTGTTTTATTCAGGACAAAAGGGGCTTTCTTTACATACCATTATTTATATAATCTCATGTAATTTAATTTGAAAAAATAAAAAAATATGATGAAAAATTGAAAAAAAACATGTTTTTTTACTTTTACTTGATAAATCTTTTACTAATCTACAAAAGCTAATGAAAAAAACTGCTAAATAGATTCAAAATTTTGTCCTGAGTTTAAAAATATCCAGTGTTTACATGCTTTTTTGCTTTTTTTGCAAGTTATAGGGCTATAAGTACAAGTTTCAAAACATACATTTTTTAAATTTATCAATAGTGACATTGTAACACTATTATCTGTCATAAATCTCTGAATAACACCCCACATGTACATATTTTTTTTAAAGTAGACAACCCAGGGTATTCAATATGGGGTATGTCCAGTCTTTTTTAGTAGCCACTTAGTCGCAAACACTGGCCAAAGTTAGCATTCATATTTGTTTGTGTGTGAAAAAAGTAAAAAACTAAATTGAACGCTAATTTTGGCCAGTGTTTGTGACTAAGTGGCTACTAAAAAAGACTGGACATACCCCATTTGCAATACCTTGGGTTGTCTTCTTTTGCAAATGGTATGCCATCATGGGGGTAATTCTCATTCCTGGGCTACCATACACTCTCAAAGGCAACGTAACCAACCTGGCCATTTTCAATGTAAAAATATTTGACCCTTTAACTTTCAAAAATACTGTTATACTCGGAAGACTTTGCTGAACACAAATATTAGTGTTTCAAAACAGGAAAACGTATCACAACAATTATATCATCAGTAAAAGTGCTGTTTGTGTATGAAAAATGCAAAAAAAGGCACTTTCACTGACAATATCACCGCTGTGATGTGTTTTACTGTTTTGCATCACTAATATTTGTGTTCAGTGAAGTCTCCCGAGTAAAACAGTACCCCCCATGTACAGGTTTTAGGGTATCATAGAAAGTTTCAGGGTAAAATACAGTGCTAGCAAATTAAATTCTCTGGACTTTCGGTCGGGATTGGCAGGCAGGTCCCTCAAATTGCAATCAATAAAATTACTTAATTATGTAAAAATATTACATAAATATGCACGTAGCATTTTAAATATATATGCATATTTATATATTTGAAGTCTACGTGTATATTTATATAATTATTTGTGTAATTTTGTATCTGGACATATGTATATTTCGTATTATTTTTATTTATTTATTTATATATATATATATATACACAATTTCGTTCTAAGCGTATTTTGATATAACTATATATATATTAATATCAAAATATAGTTAGAATAAAATTTCATATAGATATATAATTTTTTTTTAATTTTATTATTTTTACAGTTTTTAATTTAAATTACTTATTATTTGTATTTTATTATATATATATACAATATATATAGTTATATATATTATATCTATATACGTGTGTAATTTAATTATAAGTGTATTTTTATATTAATATTTGTACATATTAATATAAAAATACACTTAGTATGACATTATATATGATATATAGACATATATTGTATAGATATGTCTATATATTATATATATATACATATATACACATATATATACACATATATAATTTTTTTTATTTTTTATTAACATGCACCTTTAATTTTTTTATGATTTTACACTAGCAGGGAGACTTCTAGTATACATGGACACCTACTGTGACCATGTGATCGCTCTGTTGAGCGATCACATGGCCCCAGGGGTCCTAATCCACCATGGGGAGACTGTCTGGGCTACAGGCAGTCTCCCCACACCGGGAGCACCGCTGATCGCCGCCGGGGGAACGACGGTGATCGGGTAAGTATAAGACCGTTGTGACGGTTCAGGACCGTCAGTGGTCGGCAACGCTAAAATGCCGATGACGGTCCTGAACGGTCACTGATCCTTATGGGGTTAATGAAATAGATTTTTTTTTTTAAAGACCAGCTAGTTTAGATTTAATTTTTCAATTGTTTTCTCAACTTACCACAGCTCACTATTTAAAAAAAAAAAATGATCTAAATAAAAGATGTATGTATGGGTTCCTGCCTGTGTACTATTATTCATATCAATAGCACAATATAACAATAGCACTGTATTGTTAGTGATCCATAATTTACTAAGTTAATATCGACCACTTACAAGCTCTTTGCAAGTCAATTTGTTTCCAATTATACACGCCTACATCGGTCATCTACACCTGGTGTTTTGACTTATACTATATAAAACAATGATTTCTGCGTTATCTTAATGTGCATGTACACAAATAAACAATTAATGTTTTGCTTTTTTTTATATTGACAAAAAAAAGCTGTCTGCTTGTCAATGTATATTAACTAAGACATATGTTAGGCGGTAACCTGGAGTTGTTAAAGGAGTTATCCTGCTATTTGACCACAGGCTGCCTCCACCTCTGGTCCATTGCCACTCGATTCATCAAACCCACCACTTGCTTTCTTAATCACTACCTCTGCGGACCCTCTTTATTTACAGGAGTACACAAACTTCGGTTTCCGCACACCACAACGGACTTTGCACTATTTATCTGCCTTTGTCCCCAACCACAAATATATTTTAACACGTTAAATAGAGCAATAACAACACAATGTTACTATATGCCAGGCTTTAACCCCTTAAGGACACATGACATGTGTGACATGTCATGATTCCCTTTTATTCCAGAAGTTTGGTCCTTAAGGGGTTAAAAGTGACTAGCCACGGTAACCTTTGTACTTACCAGTGGCTATTGGTGAGTGGAACTTTTGATCCCACCAGTTATATTGTATCTTAGACTGTTTCTAATATATCTTTAACTTATATATAATACAAATAACTGTGTTATATTTTAGCAGTCACAGTCATATAGCAGCAAATCACACATAGTATATAACAATTAGTAATACTATTCATTGCAGATAATCCAAGATAATAATACGACAACAATTAATATATGATGTATACCACAGATCTATAGTACAAGGTTTTGCAATTGGTATTTTGTAAAACCAGTCTGGCTAAAATCCCACAAGGTCTCCTGCTTGGAACTGGTGGCTTGATGGCAACCAAGCTCTTGGTGTATCCTAAAGAGGAACAGTTGTATAATATTGATGTATAATGTGTATGTGCTAGTACTGACCAGTTACTATTATTAACTGTTGTGCCAAATTTAATATTATGTAATATTTACTTTGTACATAATAAAGCATTATTTAGAGCGTTGTGCATCATTGCACAAACCATCTCCATTTAGTCTTTCAGAAGTTGCAAAACCATCATTTCTTGACAGAGTAACTTTGTCACTGAGTTTGTGTCATTTCATTTATCTTTGAAGAAAGGCTGCGTTTCTGCTGTTGCATGATAAGGGCACTATTCAATTATTCATTCCCTGTCTCCAAAGCAGTGTAACACATTTGGGTTGTAGGCTACATTGTTTGGGTTACTTATCTTTGTTTCAGAATAATTTGAATCTTTTTTAGTAGCCATCTTTTTCAACTGTGGGAAAATCCATTTTTATTTCTTTAAAATATGTATATTCATGGGTATCTTTATGATATTAGTTTATTTTTTGGGGAAGATTATTGAATACGGTTACCCAAGATTTGTTGCAAGTGGTTGTGTCTGTCACGAATGCTAGTGTGGTCCAACACGCAGAAACTATGTAAACATATACATAGGAAAGGAAAAATAAAAGGACAGAGTGTAAACTGGTCCTTAGAATGGCCGGACTAATACGATAGAGATAGAGAATGGTCAAAGGGAAAGCCGAGGTCAGGGAAGCCAGAAATACTCAAATACCGTAGAAACAAGCCAAAGTCAGGGGAACCAGAAATCGGAATAAACAGGAAAAGCCAAGATCAGAATACCAGGAAATCAGAATCACAAGGATAAACGCACTCTCGGGAACCAGGAACAGGAAACCACGACAGGGCAAAGAACTGGAGTGAATTAGGGATTTAAATATCCCTCTCTGGGCTCTGATTGGTCAGAGGGTGACCTCTGACCCCAGAACGTGTGCGTGCGTTGACGTCGTGACGTCACGCGTACGTCAGTATAATTTTGAGGGGCGGAGCTTGTGATGCGTGTGACCACGTGGTGAAAGCCATCTTTGATTTGGGCGCAGGTAAGCTCACTATATCGGCGAGGTCGTGCCGGTCGGGCACGGATGCACCATGCGGCGGGCCGGGAACCGCGATAGTACCCCCCCACTCGAATACCGCTCACCGGGCGGGAAAGAGCCGGCTTGTGAGGGAAGCGGTTGTGAAACGACCGGACAAGACAGGGCTCATGAACCTGGCCAGCGGGAACCCAACTACGTTCCTCCGGACCATATCCTTTCCAGTCAATTAAAAAGGATATGGTCCGGAGGAAAGAAAAATACCTCTGGAGACTTTGGTTTCCAAAATAGATCGAACTTCGTACTCCTCCTGATCACCCACTACCAAGGATGGAGGAGGGGCAGCCACTTTAGTGTATTGATTGCAAGTAAGTGGCTTAAGCAAGGACACATTAAATGAATTGGCAATTTTCATGTGCGCTGGAAGTGCCAAGGAATAAGTCACAGAGTTAATACGACGGAGGACCTGAAAAGGACCTATGTACCGAGGAGCAAATTTCATGGAAGGAACCTTAAGTTTGATATGACGTGTGGATAACCACACCTTGTCTCCTGCTTGATAGACAGGATTGGCACCCCGTCTCTTGTCAGCTTGGATCTTAGCACGTTTTGATGCCTTCTGTAGTGCCATATGAACAGAATCCCAAGTGTCATGAATAGAATTCAAACGGGCGTTCAAGGCAGGAACATCAGTGTCTGAAAATTCAGAAGGTAAAACAGTTAGGTGATAACCCTGATTTACAAAAAATGGGCTATGATTAGAGGATTCATGAGTCACATTATTTCTGGCAAACTCAGCCATGGGTAAGAGTTCATACCAGTTAGATTGATTGGCATCCCATAAAACAACATAAGTAAGATTCTAAAGACTGATTGGCCCCCTCTGCTGCGCCATAAGTCTGAGGGTGATACGCTGAGGAAAATTAAAGTTCTATACCCAATTGCTTACAAAAGGCACGCCAGAACCTAGAAATAAATTGGGTTCCTCTGTCAGATACTATGTTTATAGGCACTCCATGTAACCGAAAGATCTCTTTCAGAAATATTTGTACAAGATCCTGAGCAGATGGTAATTTTTTAAGAGGTACAAAATGTGCCATTTTTGAGAATCTATGACCATAAGGATTGTGTTATATCCGTTTGAACTGGGTAGATCCACCATGAAATCCATGGCTAAATGGGTCCATGGAGCATTAGGTATTGGCAGTGGTTGTAACAACCCAGGAGGAGATTTGTGGGATGCTTTAGAAACGGCACGTATTTGGCAAGCCCCTACATAATCTTTGATGTTGTTCCTAAGTGTAGACCACCAGAACCTCCTGGAAATAGCAGAGAAAGTTTTATGGACTCCAGGATGACCTGCTGTCAAATTATCATGGAATAATCCAAGTACCTTTTTCCTTAATGGTGGTGAAACATACAGTTTATTCGGAGGTCTCTCCACGAGTGCCTGATTTTGATCTGCTATTATGGCACAGAAGAGTGGAGAAGACACTTCGGAAACTGTAGTAGCAATAAGGCATTCTGGAGGTATGATAGGGAATACCTCTTGTTCAGGAATCTCATCTGTCTCAAACTGCCTAGACAGCGCATCTGCCTTGATGTTCTTGGTCCCGGGCCTATATGTAATTACAAAATTGAATCGGGAGAAGAACAATGACTATCTAGCCCGACGAGAGGACAATCTCTTAGCGTCCCCAATATAAGCCAAATTCTTATGATCGGTAAAAATCAGAAGTGGCTCTTTGGAACCTTCTAAGAGATGCCTCCATTCTTTAAGGGTGAGTACAATGGCCAATAATTCCCTATTCCCAATGTCATAATTTTACTCTGCAGGGGTTAATTTTCGAGAGAAAAACCTACAAGGATGTAAAGGTGCATCAGGACTTTCTCTTTGAGACAGCATTGCTCCTACAACTGTTTCTGATGCATCTACTTCTAGAATAAATGGTTTGGTCGGATCTGGATGTGTCAGGCAGGTGCTGAGGCAAATAAAGATTTTAATTGCTCAAATGCCTCCTTTGCTTCATTGGGCCATGAATTGCAATTTGCTCCTTTTTTATTAGGTTGGTAATAGGAGTGATAACAGAGGAAAAACCCTTAATGAACTTGGGGTAATAATTTGCAAACCCTATAAAGCTTTGAGTAGCTTTAAGGCCTTTGGGTAACGGCCATTGTAAGACTGCTTCCAATTTGCGTGGATCCATTTTGAAACCAGACGGGGATATAACATACCCAAGAAACTGTATCTCCGTCTGGTTAAACTGGCATTTCTCCAGCTAACAGTATAAGCCGTTCTTTAACAGGGTTTTTAGTACTATTCTCACAGGTTCATGATGTGTCTCTAGGTCTGGGGAATAGATGAGAATGTCGTCTAGATACACTAAAACGAACATGTGGAGATATTCTCTAAGGACATCGTTAATGAAATCCTGAAACACTGCTGGGGCGTTGCATAGTCCAAACGGCATAACTAAGTATTCGTAATGTCCCATTCTCGTATTAAACGCGGCCATCCATTCATGCCCTTCCTTAATTCTGACTAGGTTGTAAGCACTTCTGAGGTCGAGTTTAGTGAAGACTCGGGCCCCTTTCAACCTGTCGAATAACTCGGAAATAAGAGGAATGGACTCACCACATATCCTACAAGCGGGGATTATACCGCTGCAAGCTATCCACACCAGAGCTCTACTAAATTTAAGTAAGACCTCTTTCTTTATATTTGACACCTCTCGGGAACATCCCGCACCATCATCCTTCTCATCACTCAATGCCCTCTCCTATATATTTGAATACTGCGAGGAGCGGAACCACTCCAGAGACCAGCTTAGGACCAAAGTTCCACTTTATTGGACTCTGTTTCAACTACCACTACCCTAACTAGGACTTTTTATTTATTTACTTTGTCTATTGGCACAGCCCCATCCTTGTTTGTTTGCTAGATGACATTTAATGTTGAAAAATTCAAAGTTATTCACTTCGGCGTAAAGAATACACAAGCAACGTATACCCTTAATGGAAGCGAATTACGGATAACCACACACGAAAAGGACTTGGGAATTGTTATAGACAACAAACTATGCAACAACGTGCAATGTCAATCAGCAGTGGCCAAGGCCAGTAAGGAAATTGTGTGGAAATCTATTCACAAACCGGACTTTACATAGGACACGAGGTCATGCGTTTAGACTGGAAGAAAGAAGATTTTGTCTAAGGCAAAGGAAAGGTTTTTTTTTTTTACTGTAGGAACAATAAGGATGTGGAATTCTCTGCCTGAAGAAGTGTTTCATCAGAGTCCATACAGATGTTCAAATGGCTACTAGATGCATACTTACAAAAACAGAATATTCAAGGATATAATCTTTCAATGTAGGGTAATAAATGCTTGATCCAAGGATAAATCTGACTGACATTCTGGGGTCAAGAAGGAATTTTTTTCCTAGCTTGTTGCAAAATTGGAAGTGCTTCAAACTGTTTTGTTTATTTTGCCTTCTTTTGGATCAACAGCAAAAAACAAATGTGAGGAAGGCTAAACTTGATGGACGCAAGTCTCTTTTCAGCTATGTAACATGTGCAGAGATTGGGTTGACATATGACATATGATGATGTAAAGAAAACCTGTGATGACAGAAATTATGTAAGTAAAACACGGAAATCCCACATCCCACAGATGATCAGTCAGATTTAGATCTTGGGAATTTCAATGCTTCCCCTGTTGAAATTTATAATAAAATACCGGTATATAATAAATGCCAATACTTGTATTGGCGTCATCATGACTATTTATGAAACAAGGGATTACTGCCACAGAAAAAATGAGGCACAGTTACACAAATGCAAAAATATTTTGGCTTATGTGTTTACTGCTTGACCTTGTAGGGGCTCGCAAACTTTTAAATTTTACCATCCATTTCAAAATGTAATTAACCTGTTCCTGATTACAAAATCTATGGAAAGGGACATGCTGCTTTTAAAATAAGAGCCGGATGATTAAACAAATTATGTGACTATGGAGCCTATTACTGCAGTATCTGCAGTAATACCAACTGCATTTTCTTGATCAGTACAAAGCAGGTTTATATTACTAAAGCACAGCTATAGAGCTCCATGTGTTATAGTGGAGGGAGGAGAGGGGGACAAAGATTACTGAGGGTTTGTCGAGATCCATAAAAGCAGGAAATAGATTTTTGCAACAGGAGATGACTATGAAACATAATCGTTTATGAATTATTGAAGTTGACTCTTGTATGGTTTAGCACACATATGACGCCTCTTATGTTCACTGGTATATTAGAACATTAGCGATTCAGACTGATATGATAAAGGGTATAAATGACCACTCAGTCAATAAACGTTTTGAAATGTTTTACTTTTCAAGTGTTTCCATATTGATTTATTAAACCTAGTGTGATGTCCAAAGAGAGATTTAATTAGTATTTGATTCTAAGGTATCTTTTGAGGGGGCTTTTTCTGATCTGTTACATTTCTTTAGTTGATCATATTAATTTGTATTTTGCTGTATTTACATTTTAGTAATCTGGGCTTGTCTATATGTTTTGTATGTATTGTGCAGAATGTTACACAATTACACAATGTCTTACAAGGACAATTAGAAAACATAACCAATCGTCAGTACACACACATTTATTTAAAGGAACACTATGGCACCATTGACCTCCTGGCACCATGAAAACTATTTGCACTATATGGTACCAGGAGGTTCCTGGTGCTGGCTTACATCTAGGGGTTGACTATTTGTAAGGCCCTCAATCAGTCTGTGGCTCCCCATTCATAAGAATGGCTTGAGAAAAATACATACATTTCTCAAACCATTTTGTGAATAGGGCACTGAATGGCTGAGAGTGTCAGCTGATTGCTCTAAGCAATCAGCGGTGACTGTCCGTGGAAGTACTAGGCTTCCGTTTTCAACCTTTTAATTAAGCAGATGTTGGACGTGGCAGAACAATTCGGTTCTGGAAAAGAGACTTTGTGGTTAAACTGTTCATGAACGGTTTAGCCCCAGAAGGTAATCCATAGCCAGGGATCTGCTGACACCATAACCACTTCATTATATGTTGTTATGGTACTCAGAGTGTTGCTTTAATTAAACTCTTATATTTTCTATCTCTCTCTCTCTTACACATACCTAATTAAACTACAATTACAATCATACCATATCAGCCACAAACATATTAGATTAGTTGCATAGTTACACATTCACACACAATGCCCCCATAACTGACAAACAGAAATACACACATAAAAACATAGAATGTGACGGCAGACAAGAACCATTCGGACCATCTAATCTGTCCAATTCTCTAAATACTTTCATTATTCCCTGACCTTATCTAAGCTAATGCCTATCCCACGCATGCTTCAACTCTATCACTTTGTTCACTTCAGCTGGACTATTCCATGCATCCACTAAACTCTCAGAAAAGTAATACTTCCTGATATTATTTTTAAGCCTTTGCCGATATGGACAATATAGTAATTGTTATTGTAATATGTGTTAAATAAACATCACATTTTCTTTTAAAACTCTGTTATATTGTGCACCCATACTTCCCAAGTGCCCCTATTTAGACAGGACAGTCCCTATTTTGGGTTCAAATCATTATGTACCTCTTTTCTATCCTAATGCCCCTCTTTTCCAGGTGCTCCATATTGTAGGCCTTTCTGAATATCAGCAATAATAAAGTAATGTGTCTTTAAACAGCATCAGAAATGTTGAGGAATCAGCCTGTGTAAATACGATATATATTATTCTTGTTCAAAGTTACATTTTAGTTTCATAAACTGGTATTAGTAAGTCACCTAAAATATCTTAGAATAGCCCAACCCTGGCCACATTGCCACTCACACCCCTAAAATTAAGATGTCCATTTTTTAGATTTTAAATATTGGGAGGCATGTGGAATCGCTGGAGCCAGTTAGAACATAGTGATGTTACCACTGCTCTAACCATTCAATGTATATTCACATGCCTATATACACGCTCACACATACATGCAGTCATATTCATGTATACCAGCACACACATCATTGCTGCTTTAATTATTCTCCCTCTTCTGTCCCTATTGTTCTCACTTTTAGCCGTGAGCTGGCATGAATACACTATTATGACTATTATGCATAGTGTTAGGAGGTAGTAAGCAGTTTATGTGTGATACAGTGGCAGAGACAGCTTTTCCAGCTTCCTCACCTTCCCAATCTTTGTATTCACGCAGCACACTAGGAGGTTGTGATGTCATATCACTTTCTCCCAGCACTACTAGTTTTGATGTCTAAAGCAGTACAGCGGGAAGCATGGCCGTTAGGAGCATGAGGCATTAGAATGTTAACCTACCTTACAAATATGTAGAAGTCATAAAGACTCCATAGGGTTTTAGTTATTAATTTAGTGCTTGGGGATTGGGGAAAAAAAGGGGTGAGGAGCTCTGTTTACCACCCCTTCTGTTTTTAACCCATCACTTGCCAGGAGTAAGCGAGAGGTTAAAAATAAAATTAGGTTATCCGAATTTAATTTGCAGTTAAATTGTGCAAAGTTCAGTTGAAGAAAAACATGGGTTAAATTCAGTTCAGATTAAAATTTTTGTATGAAATATTTGTGGACCATAGAATGAGTCTGTTTCTCCCGACCTGTATATGTGTAGTGTGCTCCAGCTCCCAGAGATGGGTGTCAGCCAGTGGAATGAAAGTAAACATTGATGTAGCTTACACTATAATCTTCCTTCTTTGTCTCCACACTCATTATAGTTGTATTATTTAACCCGAGAGGTGGGAGTGTTGAGACAGGCAGTGTTTTTTCTATATTGTGAAACTGTAATTCTGTAATTAAAGTGACCTTTAAAGGAAGGGTAAAATTAGCAAATAAAATGAACAATACAAGGTGATGATTTGCTATATGTACATTTTTGTGTAAGTTTATCCAGCTTTTTTTTGTAAGTAGAGCTGTTGTTCCTGCTGGATGTGCTGTCGTTTTGTCACAAGTTCATAAACTGAGCTTTATAAATCAGGATACTGGTCATATGTGTTCAGCCCTCACAGTATGTTGATCACCCAGTGGCTGGGTCCAGCAGTGAGTTCGGCAGGTATCTACATGCCAATAACATGTATGCAAGACAGTGCCTTGTATGCGTCTACAAAATTACTTGAATATGTTTTTTGATGCAAAGTGTGGAGCCAGGGCTCTTGCACACAAATCTTAGTTAGAACACACTCTGAGAAGGGCTTCTAAGAACTTTGGTCATCAAGTGGTACACTTGGTATATTCCATATACTCATCATCCCCCTATATATGCTGTATTATCTATTTGCCAATTAAAATTTCTCATATTTTATATTTTATGCTTATATTTTCTTTTATTATTCTCGCTCTCTCTGCTGCCTTTGATACTATCAATAACGCTCTTCTTTTTTAAACCCTTAACAATCTTGGACTCCATGACACTGTACCTTCCTGGCATACATAGCCCCCAGAGGTGTCTTCAGTCCCAGTAAAGAGGAGCCTTTTTTGCACACTCTAGAATCTGACTAAAGTTAAAAGGTTGCTGAGATGGTAATTAAATAAAGAGCATCTGCCACTCTGTTTTCTCCTGGGAGTGGTCCCATGAATCTATATGACTGGTTGGGACAAGCTTTCCCCAAGGCAATTGTCCCCTTGTTTTTATGGAAATATTGTTAAACTGTTGGAATTACTGACAGGATTTAAGGTTCTTCTTTTTCCCGATTCAGTCAGACAACATGACCATGGATCCCCACCAGAACTATCAGGGAGAAACAGTGAATCAAAAAATTACAAGGACCATAGAACATCTGATAAATTATTCTACAAACTCCTTGCTTATATTACAATTGTGTGCCTCCCACACAGAAGTAGATTTCATCAGCAGGACTTAAAGCCTAATAAAATTTATATTATTGTAATCTGCATTCAAGAAAAATGTGAGCAGACCAGGTTTACTGGATGACATTTCTGATGGCATCTACTTTGATCACATGGAGGGATTCATGTCTTGCAATCGATACTCATAAATGGTAGGACTTAATGCCCTTTCCGGTGAATGGATGTGCAGGTGGGGATATATCTTTCTACAATTTGTAATGATTTTCAGGATGCTCAGAAGGATTCAGAAAGAAAACAAATAGATTTTTGCAGTAATTCCCTTTTGGTCTCACAGGTCATGGTTTCCTCTCCTGTTGAGACTTCTCCTGGAGTTTTCAAAACTGCAATCTCATGGTTGATCCATTCCCTCAACAGTTGCATTTGAGATTATGGAAGTTGAAATGATGCATCTCAGGAACTAGTGTTTTTCAAATTTAGCAACCAATGTCCTCCTACAGGCTGGAAACTAATCAGTTTCTGTGGTCTACTATCACATCTCAAACAGCTTCTTCCTGTAGTCTGGTTACCAACATATTAATATTTTTCTCAGGTGACATCTGGCAATAATTCATGCCTCAATGCCATTAAGGTACATATCTCAGCATGATTGCCCTAACAGGGAATAGATGGCCTATGAATATTGGCATCAGGAGGTTTGTGTCATTGGTTGTGCAACTAAGGCATTGATTGAAGCCCAAGAGACCTCAGTGAGATCTCACAAATCCTCTCAGCTTTGGCAAGCTATCCATTTGAACCTCTGCATGAAGTGTCAGAAATGTTTCTTACTTTCAAAAACTATCTTTCAGTTGCCTTGACTTCTGTTAGACAATTTTGGAATTTTGAGTCAAATTCACAAGAATTCCTGCATTACCATGAAGATCGTAATATTGAGAACTTTACCTTTTATCAAAACTATTGTTCTAGCAACTTTACATGTAAGTCAAACATGTTTCAGCCTCCATTTCTATCGGTAGGCCCTCATGAAGATGAGAATGTTTTAGAGCTGGAAATAGAGATATTCTTCATCAGTATTTGTCATGGAAAACAGATTGATGATGAAGCTGAATAATGTTGGCTATCTCCAGAGCCCACTGGGCAAAATAAATTCATTTCCCTACAGGATTGCAGGCTCATTGAACAAGGGGAATTTATTCTTCTTGGGCAGCTGCTGCAAATATATTTTCTGATCATATTTGTGGGAAAACAACATGCCCATTCATTTCTGCATTTATTTGGCACTACAAACGAGACATTCAATCCTCTAAGAATTCAGAGTTTGGAAAAGTGTTTTTCTCCACCTCCTATATCTGTTTGCTTTAATAAATTATCTATTTGCAGTGTTTAGTGTTGACTTTTAATTTCCTTATTTTTGGATGTGCTTGGGTATTACCTGTGTATAGTGCTGAAATGGATATATATGGGAAAAAATTCATACTTAATGTTATGTGAAATTATCCACAAATATCAGTGTAAATAGTTTACAACTGAGGTGTGACTCTTATAATATAGAGGAAAAATAATTCATACTTACTGATAATTTATTTTCCCTCACAAACGCCAAATATACTTACCAAATATTCTTATTTTAGAGACCTAGTGCCTCTATCGGTCTCAAATATTCCTACCATGGTGTGTGTGTTATTCAGTATATCACAATCTCTGAATTTTGTAGGGTTATTCACTAGACACTAGATTTTGTATGTCTTCTTATATTTCCTAAAGCCAAGTCCCTTCAGCTGATCCTGATGAGCGTTCCATTCGGGATGTATTTAACCAAATACAGGGACTGTTTCTTCTAAAGTGGGACAATAGGGAGGTATCGGTATGTGCCTTGCTTTCTTTGTCTTTTAAATTAGGAAAAAAAAACACACACAAGAACATACTAAAGCATGTAATCAGGATACAGTATAGTGTGTACAGGAGGTAGTTGGGTTTAAATCCCCAGCAGGGTTTAAATATACTGTGTGAACCTCCATTCCAATGTCTTAGTCTGTGGGTGGTGATGATGTAACCTGTAGTCCAATCTGCTTTGGTTGTTTTCTTCAGGAAGGCCGATATATTTGTTGCATCCCTGTGGAGTATAACGTGTGAATACAGGTTGATTGATTCTGAAAGTGAGCGCTTCTCACAGTATGGCTCATCGTTTAATACTCTATTCACACAGAGAGCATATTGGGTGACTGTAACACTCCTTTAATAAAAGGTGCTTAAGAAAATAAGAATTTCACAATACAGTTATTGAAGTCATGCAACATCAATTTACAAATAGTAAAATATGCTGTCTTATTATGGTATCCTATTAAACTTTGGGTCCTGATTGTATTTATACAAAAAATGACAAACTACACATAATCTCATGTGTTTTGAGTGAATACAATTATTTTCCTACTTATTGTAGTACTAGTTGTGAATTATGTGCGGTAGCAAGAATAGTTTGCAGAATTATTTTTATTTGCAACACTTAATTTTTTTCTTTCCGTAAGAGATATAGACAGTTATATATAATACGGCTTGTGAAGCAAGACTCATACACCAGCATTCTTTAATGGAGATTGTGACTTTAAATAATAATTAAAAAAAATTAATAATAATAATCTGGGAATATGTCTCATATGGACAGTTGCCAATTGCCTTGATTTTGCCAGCACAATCCTGTGTTGTGGACTCCTGTCCCAGGACATGTCTTGCATTTAAAACTTTCTAAGGAAGTTAATTTTGCAATCTGTGCTATTACTACAATTTCTTTACCAAACACATCCTTTAACAAAAAAACAAAAAAAAAATGGGTTTTCACAATGTTAGTGCTCTGCAAACACTTAAAATGAAAAAGGGTAATCAAAAGCATGCAAGAGAAGTTGCAGCAATAATTCTATCATTCTTATTTTGTTATAAGCATGCGTGTGATTGACGTTGGTATTTCATGGTTGAGCAATATATTTAGCCATAACCGTTTGCCAATGTGTGCT